ACAACAGTTCTCTGGCGGTGTTGCTCTGCTGCTCTCCAGCGCTGTCTTGGAGACAAGGTTGTCCTTTCTCCCTTGAGGATGCCAAAGGGAAGTGTATTAAGTGTATTAGCCCTTTTTTTTTTTTTTTTTTCCCTTCCACACCCCAGCCTCCTCTTCCTGTGTTTGAGCAGAATGAAATTATCTGGACGGGTGAAGCAAGTTGGCTTCAGACTTCTTGTCAAATTAACTTTGCTTGTCTGTGGGTGCGTGGGGCTGCGTGGCAGGAGTCAGCAGCACAGGTGACAGCGGCACACCGGTGGGGTCAGAGGCGCTTATGGGACCTGTAGGGGTTGGCAACGTGAGAAATGGTCTATTTTAAATTTGTATTTCAGTCGAGAGGAAAAGATCAAATGTATTTATAATTGCTGCCGTCGTGCTAGCTGACAACAGACTCGTGCTTTCCTCCACGTATCATCTGGCTCCAGCAGTATTTGTGAGAGCTCTCATCTGCCGGGGCAAGGAGGGTATTTGGCATTGCACAGAGCTGTCTATCCAACCCTGTATGGTTAATGTGGGCACTGATGAGTGATGCTCAGGGACTCTGCAGCCACAGGTTGGCTGGTGACAGGAATCCCCAAGAGTAGGCTACCTGCTGTGAGTAACCAGGCAGGAACCTGGTGCGTACTGAGATATTCAGAAACAGGCAGCAGGACCTCTCTTGCAGGGTCTGAGGGACCATGCACAGCTAACTCGGAGGCTAGAATATGATGAAGGGCACAGTTTCCCTCACTAGCTCACAAAAATGAGCTGGCAAAACGGGACCATGGTGTCTTCTGAGATCATTATGTGGTAATCGCTCAGTTGCAATGAAGCACGTTTGGCTGGGCAGCACCAGTAAGCTGCTGGTGGTGTCCAGGCGTGGGGTCGTGGGAGCTGTTAGCTTGTCTTTTTCATGTGTTGCTTGTTCTTCCCTTGGCATGTCACCTCCAGGGTCAGCCCTGATGGTGAGCAGGGTGGTCCCAGGGCTCAGCGAGGCTGGGCATGCTGACGGGCTGTGATCTGGGTGCCCCCTCTGTTTTGGTGCTGGCAGAAAGAGAAGTGACTGCGAAGTCAAAAGTTGTTTTCCCCCTTGTAATGTAACCCTAGTGATGATGTGTGGCACTGACCCAAAGTTGCCAGGCTGTGATCCTTATGGTTATCATTGTATTATGACTTATTTATTATAACACATCAACAAATGTAATGTTTCATTGTCCTCTGCCTCAGAAAAGGGACTTATCATCTTCCAGTGATAGATATCTCAGCTCTGATGGAAATTCAGTGTCTTCTACTTCACGCCTTCACCCTTCTTAGGCCAGCGAAAGTGCTAATAGTGGAAAAGGAGGTCTGACGAATGCTAGTAATCCCATGTATGCATTAAATCCCCAGCACCTTCTGTGTAATGGAGTATGTTGGTAAACTCATAAGCTACCTGCTGTAGAGTCCTGTTTCCACTGATAATGAGCCAAAAGCCCTTTTCAATGCATTGAAAGTGGGGTAATGTGAAATAAAATCATTCTGGACAAATGTAGGGAGCAGAGTTGTCAGCAAGTGGTCAGGAGGAAAGGCAGATCTGGTTTGTTAGGCATAAGTTACAGGGTGTAGCTAACAGTGACAGCAGATGCATAAATTGCTCTGGCTTTCTCAGGGAGATATTGACCCAGAATCCACTCTGAGGGAAGAGTAAGAGTTCCCTTTACTGATGCAAAATCAGACCAGATTGAAAAAGCAGTGACCTCCATAATAGAAAAAAAAATAAAAAAACAACCACAATTGCCTGTTCTTCCCATTACTTTTGTTTTCAGTAGTTCACTGAAGCTTGTTCATTTAGGAGCAATAAATATGAGGAACGCTTAGTTTTACTAGTTCCTGCCTCCTAGCTGAATGAAATGAACTCTCCAAGGACTCTTATTCCCTGTGTGCCAAACAGGGAAACCTGAAGGATATTGAATGACATGCAGAAACTCAAGGAAGAATCATTAGCAGTGAAGCATCTAGCTAACTCTCTTAAAAGTTAAGATGAGAAGCTTCAATGAAAGTGACCTTCACACTTGATGTTCCCTCTTTTGCTTTTCTCCACGCTTGAAGCTCTGGTAATGACTTTTTTACCCACTTTGTCACTGTGTCACTTATTTCATGAAAGATTTCCATAGCTAGGGAGTAATTTCGATCCAGGGTGGTAGTATCTACAGCTGTTGGGTGGATGCAAAATACAAAGGCCATACATAGGGTTAGATCTTCTCTTTGTAGTGGACTGAGCAAAAACTTGACATAGGTTGCTAAATATAGTTCTTTAATATTTTATTTCAAACTTGATTATAACTTTAAGAAAGGATAAAATGATCAGCAGATGTTTCTTTGAGTAGCCTATGCTGCCCTCTTTGACCAGTGCAGAATTTTGCTGGAGAGCACAAGGAAAGCATGTTGGGAATGGAAAAACTATGCAAAAGCAGAGGCTGTAAACCCATGGGCTCTCGGGCATCAGAGTGCAAATGCTGGTGTGCTGTGGGAGGGTGACGTATGTAATCGTGTCTGGGTCAGATGAGAGGACAGGGAAGGATCAGAACAGAAAGTGAAGAAGAGAAGAAACATGCAAGGCTCAGAAGTAAGGAGAGCAGAAAGTGCCAGTAGTCAGGCTGGAAGAGAAGATGAAGAAAGGAGCCTTTTGGGAAGGAGTTAGCTCTAGGGCATTCTTTTTAAATTTTGATTTTAAATTGCAGTAGGCTTTTATAATTGTGACTGAAACCCAAATTAATGGCCCCACTTGAGACACCAGTGCCTGCTTGATTGCTTGAAATGGGGATAGTTTAGGTAAAAACAGTATATTTTGCTTTTAAGATAATTAAAGGTTTATTTTTATTGAAATGGAACTTTTCTAGGGGTGATAAAGACATAAATCATGTCTGGTGTTCCTTCAGTTTACAGTGAGCAAAAGAGTAAGAAGTTTATTTTCCTGCATCAAAACAATTATTTTAGCTTGTTTTTCAGTTTTAACTTTATACTGAACAATTTTACCAAGAACGATCCTTGTGGTTTTTAAAGCCCATAAAGTGTTCCTGGAGACATAGGACTCAAAATGTGTTCCAGAGTGTTTTCTTCCTAATATGCATGGAAAAATTCCTCTCTGATGCCAGCTGCCAGCCCATAGAGATGAAGGCATATAACTAGTTGGTCATGGAGAGGCTTTTTCATTGCCTTGATGAAGTAGTTCCTAATCTGGCTGACCTTGTTGGTCAGCAGGAGACCAAGCTGTCCCATCCCCCTGGCAGGTCTGGTGTCAGAGCACTGTAGCCTCGTAGGTCTGGGAAATGATGGGCTCTTCTTCTCAACGATGCTGTTGGGCTCTTCTCAACGCCACGGGGTGCTGTGAAATGCTTCTTGTCCAACCTGAAGGGAGCAGTTACTCCTCCAGGTATCCTCAGAATGGAAGAAATTGTTTTGATCAGCGAATAAGCTTGTGTAAAGTTCAGGTGGAAGGGGAAAAGGTGGTATTAATTTTTATAGTGTTTGGACTGAGTGAAAAGTAGTATTATTCGATCACAAATTAACTGTAGGTACTCAACCCTCACATAATCTATTCAATATCTTGGGATATTTTCATCCTTGTGACTTCATTCCCACCGAGAATTTCTTCAGGGCATGTGTTAACTTAAAAATAATATATAAACAAGGTGCGAACAGTTCAGTTAAGTGATACCCTGAGGTTAAAAACACAGTGATCAAATTCAGTGTCTGAAGTTGGCAGGGAGATTGTCTTATCGCCTAGGGAAGACTTTAAATTAAACTTGTTTTGAAATGTAGGTGTTAAGTGTGTGAAAGAAACTCGCCGCATCTAAACGAAGCAGGTTTTCCGAAGTTGACGAGAGCTGGTTGAGCTCTTGGGCTGCCTTTAGGAGAGAGAGGGACTGCACTCCCACCACGTAACCTGTCTGCTGAGGTTGTGCCTGGTAGCATCTGTGAGGAGAAAATCTTTAGGTGAAATCAGAGCTGTGCTCTCTGTCTGGATGCCATTGGCCTGGGCCCCCTGGCACCAGCAGCGGGCAGGGCTGTGCTGTCGACTGCTTGAGCTATAACAGAGCCAACAGCTTCATGTTTATTTTTGTTGGGCTTCTGAGACCTTATTAACTTGAAGGGAGTTTTTGGAGATACCGAATTTCTGCACTGTGCGTATGTTCAGCTTTTTGGTCTCCCTGGTGTTGCCATCTTCAAGTAAATGCAGGGGGAGTAGCCTCAAAAGGAGCCAAAATCCTTTCCCATTTTAGATTAAATGGGCGGAGGATTAAGCTCCTTCCCCCAGTAATAAGATCCTCTGATTGCCATGGCTTTTGAAGTATCTTTTCCTTTATGTGATGGATTACGTATGTGCCCATGAAGTAAAAGTTAACTTGGCTGTGAAAATCTAACAAGTTTTTCTCGATGATCATTTTATTTTTGGTTGTTTGCTTCGTACAATGATGATGGACATGTACCATCCCTGCCTACAGCATGAGACAGGACAAATTGTCCTGCAGTTGTTCTGTCTCATGCTCTTCTCAAGCCATAGGTTGTTGGTGACTGTCTGGGACCATTTGGAAGATGAAAGCTCTCTCAAGGTCACAGTATCGAGGATTAAAACGAATGTGGGAGAAGAGGGGAAAGTGGACTGGATGGGAAGCTCCTTAAGCTGGCTGCGTTATAGACTCTAACTCAATTTACATGTGGACTAAACAACACCTTTCTGTCACCCCTGGCCAGCAAAAAAAACACAGCTGCAGTTGGATTTTCAGTATCTGACCACCATCTTCCAAGGTGGTCTATGTAGTCGCATGGTTTCTAGTCTCAGGGTTTAAATTTGGAAGGCAGTAGCTGCATGTGTTAGTGCAGTAATACACATGGTATATTTGAAGCCCATCCCAGCAGCAGGACCCTAAAGTATTCACAGTATATAAACGGTACAGTCACCTTTTTGCATAAACCACTAAGTCTTTCCTTCCTTTTGACAGATTGAAGACATCATTACAAGAATGCAGGATGACAAAACAGGTGGAGTTCCCATCCGCACTGTCAAGAGCTTTCTGTCCAAAATCCCCAGCGTCGTCACCGGTAAGGACCCCACTTAGTGGGGAAGAGAACATGAGCTGGTGCTTGCTGGCTCTAAGGAAATGCGCCGCTAAAGCCACAAAAAAGAAGGAATGTAGGAAAAAAAAATATGCTCTCCTCTGTTTATTTTTTCTGCGCATCGTTATTAGGAGGTGAAGTATTGAACCAAGAATTCTTAACTCCTTTTTAAGGAAGCAAGCATTTATATTTCTTTGTGGTGCGTTATTAAAAAATGTTACATAGCTTTTGTGGCTATCACAGTATTACACATCAGAATCATTCCCTATGATGGAAGAAGGTAAGACCATCTTAGGGAAGAGCTCAGGAAAAAAAGTTGAAACTGTTTTCTCACTCATACCCAGATACTCTTACTGGGCTTCAATCACAAGTAGAGGAATGTGAAATACCTTTTATGCATGTGTGCTGCTTTATTAAAGCTGTGTGTACAAAAGTGCAGATGGTGCAGAGTCAGAGTTCAAAACTGTCCCTACACGTTTTTCCAGTCAAAATATCTTCCAGTGCAACAAAGAACTTTGCCATTGATGATGAGTTTATTCAGGATGATGGAGGATTTGCACTTGAGTTTCTGGTACATGTTTCCACTAACTTCATAGCAGTGTTCATTACGGTGGCACAAAGCTACTGTTTTCCCTCTCCCCACCAGTAGACTGTTGTCCAGTATGAGATACCCAGCTACTCCTGTGACTTATAATTGATGATGTTGTGTATTTCTGTAAAGTAAGTATGATTTTCTCTGTCCTCCAGAGTCTCTTTCCAAACCAGACCAGATACACACACTGATGAGTCTGTTTAGGGAAGTTTCCCCTCCTGTTCTGAAAAGTGAAGAGCTTTGTTCTCTGTGGCTGTGGCTTCGCTGCAGTAAAATTCAGATGATGGCTGAAAATGTAAAAGTTGTGTTGTTGCATATAGACGGCATGCCAATAACTGAGAGAAGACTGGCAGTTCAAAGGGACCTTTCTTGCTCTTGGGGTCTTTATACTGTTGTAAAATAATGGGGAGAAATGTCTCTTGTCAACAGGGGTGCTGGCAGTGCAGCTGGTGTCCAGCCATTGCAAAGGGGGTTCCCTGCAGTGGAATGTATCTGAGCTGAAGCACTTCAGAAATATCTTTACTGTGAAAATGGTCGGATTGAGCAGAGTTTGAGGTTGCGTTGATTGATTCAGGACTGTGATTTGATATCCTTGTAACAGAAAAAAATGTCCAACTTAAGCTACAGGGATGGAATACAAATCTTCAGGGTTCTTGGGGATAGGCAGGGAATATGGAAATTGGAATTAAGTTTTTGCTTAAATGAGGCTCAGTCCAGTTAATCCTTTTTTATTGAGCAACAGGCTCTTCTGTCTGAAATTGATTTCAGGGCGGTGAGTCAGTGTAACTGGCAGTTGCAGGATTAGGGTTTTACAGTGGAAAAGAAACATGAATCTAGAACGAGATGTGAAAATTGTGTTACTAAATTGCAGGTTATGGCTGGATCAGGTATGAGCTAACTGTTCTTGAAGGTTTCTGGGAAAAATAACCATTTATCTGATTTGAAAACTCATTCTGTAAACTCACCTCTGCAATACACAGGCTGCGTGTCTTAAGATTAACTCTGCTAAAACAGGTTTCTGATATTCCTGTTAATATGCATAGCACTGATTAAGGAATGGATCTGGTCATCAAGCAACCACCTGTTACTCAAAAGGAGGAGGAAACAGGAGACCTCACAGCATCTTTAAACTGATTATGCTTATCCTTAAGTGCTCCCTGGTGCGATGTAAACTGCCCCCTTGGACTCTGCTGTTCTGGAGCAGCAGCTGCAATTACATCACCTTGAAATGGCTGGTTTTTCACAGCACAGGGAGTAGTAGAAAGATGAAGATAAAATAAGAGCAAAACCTCCCTCCAGTGCTCACAGAAAATCCTCAAATTTGGAGGGAAATAAGCTCAGTACCATTCCATTCGGGTGAAGGGATTTGAAGGCAGCTCCCTTGTGATGCACCAGGCAGTGCATGAAGCCTCCCAGTTTGAAAAGTCTGGGGAAAATAATGGCTTATCTAAGGAGCCCGAAGTTTTCTCCACTTCTCATTTCACCTTTCAGATGCATAGACCAAAATCAAAAGAAATTTATATGTGGTTTCAGTACTTGTGATAGATGGGTAAAGAGCTGGAGCACTGGAAGAGGCAGGAGAGCACCTATGTTTGAACAGAAGTTTAGGTCATTGGGTTTGTTCAGTCTGGGGAAGGAAAGGCCAAAGGGAGTGAGAGGCTGTAGAGAAGACAGGGTCAGACCTTTACTCGAAAGCCCATGGTGGACACACAAAAGACAATGTACACAAGTTGCAGGAAAAGAAATCCCAGCTAGATCTAAGAAGAAAGTTGTTTATGGTCTGAGCAGCTGAGGATGGGCCTGGTGGCTTGGAGAGGCTGTGGAACCAGGGCTTTGGAGCTGTTCAGAAACCCCTGAGCCCAGCTGAACTGAGCCATCTGACCTAACTCTGCATCTGGCCTTGCTTTGCATGGGGGTTGGAGTAGATGATCTCCAGAGAATCATTCCCCTTTGAATATCCAATGAGCATAAGAATAATTCACTTTTAGTGCTTGTATAATTCCACTCAGCGTCATCAACACAAGAGAAGAGCTTGTATTTTCAAAAACTTTGGACTCCCTCTTGGGAAGAGCTTAATTTCTAGACTCTGGCATTCTCACACACTTTTTATTTCTACCTGAAAAAAGGAACAACAACACTGAGATGTGATTTACTTGGCAGGCTCACAGTGACTGTGATTAACAGGGGTTTATTTTTGCTTGACACGTCTATTGTAATTGCTTCTCACAGGAGAAAATGTAAAATCTTAAAGAAAAAGAAACATTACAGCAGTGCCTTGGTGCTCTAAACAGGCAGCTCTGTTTATAATGCAGCAAAGTGGGTGTTTGATTTAAAGTTTGGATACTAGGGAATGAATCGCTCATCTGTGTTTTGCTTTCATCTGTCCTGATGCTTAAGTTGTGAATGAGGCACTGTGTAACACGAGGAGAATGAGCCTCAGGGAGTTATCATTAGTGGTCCTCTCTCGACAACAGCAATCTGGGAAAAGGATGAAAAACCCTTTTTTAAATGTATGATGAGTCCGTGTGGGGATGCTGTGCCAAAGGCACATTTTAATCTGCATTAGAAGTAGATTTGTGTATCCTCCTCCCTGGTTTTTGGCTGAAAGTAGGTCAGTCAAAGAAGGACACATCACACCATTATCTTCTTTGGTTATGTCTTCACTTTCATGGGCAAGCAACAGAGAACTAAAGTAAGACAAAACCAGTCTGTGTGGCATCTGCGTGCACGATTCTGACTTTGTCCAATGATAAGTTTAGAGTATGGAATGAAAAACTGAGGGCAGATATTGAGTAGTGCTGTGATCCATGCCCAGACTAGGTCCGCAGCCCATGGACATGGTGGTGGTTGCTGCCAATAGAGTTAAACATTTCTCTCTTAGTGAGAAAAAAGAATTCCTTAGTAATGATTTTGTTTCTGTAAATGAATTAGCAATTCTCTATTTTCCCAGTCATCAGACTGCTGTAAGAACATCTCATTATACTAATAAGCAGCAAAACTGGGTTTTTAATCTTTTTGATTTCCATACAATTGTATCTTAAAACTAACTTCCTGTTTGGTAGGAGGACCAGATGCCTGTACTTTCTTTTCCCACCGATCTGGACTTGGCCCTATGAGGTTGTAGAGAGGTCTCTTCTCCCAAGTAACAGGCGATAGAACAAGAGGAAATAACCTCATGTTGTGCCAGGGGAGGTTTAGACTGGATATTACGAAAAATTTGTACACTGAAAGGGTTATTAAGCATTGGAACAGGCTGCCCGGGGAAGTGGTTGAGTCACCATCCCTGGAGGTATTTAAAAGACATGTAGATGTAGTGCTTAGTGATATGGTGTAGTGATGGTTTTTGTCAGCATTAGGTTGATGGCTGGACTAGATTATCTGAAAGGTCCCTTCCAACCTAAGTGATTCTATTAATATTATAAAGAAAAAAAAGAGTCAGAAAAGTCAGAAAGAAGTCAGTGCTGTAGCAGCTGAGCTTTCCAGTGCAAAAAGCCTCCTTTGTGCTCCCCAATCTGCGCCCCTCAACCTTCAGGATTTCTCCTGGTCCTGTCTTTGCTACTGCAACCCAAAGGAGATGTGCAGTCTACAAGCCTTGCACCATTCTGCCCTCTTCCCAAGAGGTTTTGATAGAGCTTCTTGGCAGAGGGGGTTGTACTAGATGATGATCTGAAGCTCTCTTCCAACCCCTACCATTCTGTGATTCTTTCTGACCCATAACCTTCAAGCAGGCCTGTCCCAACAGCTCCGTTTTGAGTGATGCCTCCTCCTTCCAGCAGCAGTCCCCTAGTTGGTACCTCGCTCGTGTGCTGCTCCTGACCCTTACCCCAAGGCTCACTTGTCGTCTTGCTCTGCCCCCAAAGCTGCCTGTGTGGCTGTGAATGGGTTGGAGGGTGATGTCCCAGCTGTACCAGCTTGGGTTAAGCACTGTCATGCCAGCTTCGTGCGTACAGCCCTGCCAGTGCATTTCACTCCTGACCTGCCGTGTCTGTCTTAAGTCCCAGGTGTCCCTGAGCAGAAAGTGGCAGCATTGCTGAGATGTGCCAGATGGCCTGTCGTTACTCGAGACTCATGATCTAAACCAAGTTTAAGCTGCCATGTGTCTCTGTCTGAAGAAGCCAGCATGTGTCTTGGCAAATGCCTACGGAGTTGTCCCAGAACACATCAGAATGTCACTCGCTCAAAGAAAATGCATTTGGCTGGAGTACGGAAATCCCATAGTGTTGGGAAAGAGAGAATTTATTATTGATAGTGTTCCCTGGGGGTGTGGTTCAGGACAGCTGAGTTCTGCTGGACGACTTCATACGCCTATGGTGAAATAAGCTCCCCCAGTGCCAGTCATTCATAGAATGGTTAGAGTTGGAAGGGACCTTAAAGATCATGGAGTTCCAACCAC